CCCGCCTAGGGCATGATCCGAGGCATCAGTATCCAGGATGAAATGACCTGTACTGTTCGGTATCGCTAGAACTGGAGGTTTAGTCATTACCTGAATTAGTTCCTCGAAAGCATTGTGCTGTTCGTCGCCCCACCGGAAACCGCTTTTTCCAGTAACCGCATACAGCGGAGCCGCAATTCTGGAGAAGTGAGGGATAAAACTACGGTGATAATTGGCGAACCCGAGAAAACGCTCTACGCCCTTAACATCACGCGGAACAGGCCAGTCACGCACTGACTTAATGTACTGATCCCCCATCTCAACTCCGTGCTCGCTTACGGTTCTACCAAGGAACTCGACCTTAGTCTTAAACAGCTCGCATTTCCGAGGCTTGAACTTGAGACCATACGCTCGGAATCGCTCAAACACTTGTCGTAGGTTATCAAGGTGAGCTTGCGCCGAAAATCCTAGGACTAGGATATCGTCTAAGAAAGCTAAGGCAATCTTCCAGTTAAGTCTGTGCAACACCAAATTTATGGCCCTAGCGAAGGTTGCGGGGGCATTACACAGACCGAACCCCATTCTAGTAAATTCGAATAAACCGTACTTTGTTATAAAGGCAGTCTTTTTCCGGTCTTCCGGAGCTATTTTAACTTGCCAATAAGCCGCGTTAGCGTCAAGCTTGGAGAACCAGCGGTTTCCCGCTAACGTGTCCATGCACTCCTCGATGAGTGGCAGAGGGTACGTGTCCTTGACTGTCACCTTATTCAGGGCTCTATAGTCCACGCACCAACGGACGCTGCCATCCTTCTTCCGGACCAGAACTGGGGCGGACGCCCAGTTCGAGGAAGACGGCTGGATGACTCCGGCTTTTAACATCTTATCGAGATGACCCTCTTCCTCCCCTTGAAATACAGCGGGGGTGCGTCGCATCCGCTGTTTTACGGGAGACGCGTATCCGGTGTCTATTCGGTGTTCGATTTCGGAAAAGCTTCCGAGATCAAGGTCATCAGTAGCAAAGACGTCGGCAAATTTTTTGACTAACTCCGCTGCCTGTGATCTGACTTCCACAGGCGCGATCTTATTTAACTCCTCTAAGAGTGGGGCGATATGGTCATAAGTCTTATCCCCCTCAAAGGTTACACGACGCACTGTGGGTTTGGTATCATTGACTATATCGGCGGGGACGGCTTTCCCCACCTTAGTGCCAGTCTTAACAATATGACTTCGGTCTGTCAAGTTCAAGATGCACAGCTTGGCTCTTTTTCCTGCGACGTTGTATGTCCGCGAAGCTACTATACCAAGCGGAAATATGCTAGCTGGTTCCAGCATAAACTCTGGCATATCGGAACTAAGGATACCCTCGTAAACTTGGGCAGTGTCCGGAGGAATCCGCAATCTGCGGACTGAAACCGCATCGAGTACTGGTACTGACTCATCGACACTCAGAGCAAACGTAGTGTCAATGCCCTTGACCCTTAAAGTACCGGCTTCACATGAAATCTCTACACCATGCTTGCGCAAGAAATCGATTCCCAAGAGCATCTCATCTTGCAGAGGACCAACATAAATGTACGAAATCATAATCCCCGATGCGTAAGTTAAGACTCCCGAGGTACTGAGCGGTCATACCAGCTCCCTCGCCAGCTAACTTAACTTTAGTGTCGCCTACAACTTCAGGCTGCGGCCTCACGGATTTATAGACTTCACTCGTTATTATCGTTCTGTCGGCTGCTGTGTCGATTGTAGCTCTCACTTGCTGGCCTCCGATCTGTATCGGAATACGCCACGCCCCTGAACCGATGGTTTGACTACCGGACTAACAGACGGAATTACATAGGTCGCGTTCACATTCGGCTCATAGAACTTGACTTTGGTCTCCTGATCTGATGCACTATGTTTGTCTTTAGTTTTGTTACTCGTCGACTTAACACAACGCTTAGGGGTTCCCGATCTACGCCTACGCTGGCGGATCGGGCAGTCGCGACGCAAGTGTCCTGGCTCTTGGCATGCGAAACATATAATAGGCCTCGACGCACGAGGACGTCCCCTGTTCGGTGACGGGTCCCTCGAGGACCCTCGTTCGGGACTTGATCCTCGGGTGCTGTCCTCCGAGTCGCTGGAGTAGTATTTTCTATACGAGTCCCGGAACGGTCCCTGCTGGCACGTCGATCAGAACGCTCCCTGCTGGCACGATTAGGACGGTCCCTGCCGGCACGTCGATCCTTCATAGACGTGCTTTTGTCATAACTTATCGACGGTCTCATGGGGGAACTCCATGCGACGCAAAGGTCCCTCGGATCAGGTCTGTCTTCGTGCGCGACGCAAAATCGGTCCCTTGACTCAGGGCGCACCTATGCGTGCGACGCAAAGATCTTGAGACTCAAAATCTGTTTTACTACGATATTGACCTGAATTTGGCGACTGACTTCGGTCATTTTGACGGTCTCTAGATAGGGATCTTACCGCCCTCGGCCGGCGGGCTAGAGCTCTGCGACTAAGTTGATAAGTTTTCACTCGTTGAATCGCTTCTTCTAGAGTCCCCGGGGGATTATTAATTAATTGCTGCCCCGCCTCGCCGTCATTACACCCCAGAGCAAAACGGACGACTATTTGCCCTTGGAAAACCTCCGGCGAAGTTCCGCTACCAAACGCTTTCTGGGCAGTGTCCATTACTCGGTCCCCCCATTGCTCAATGACCTCGTCCGCTGGCAGATAGAATTAAATTCCAGCTGTGAAGCGGCTCTAAGGGAAGTTTTACCGAATCTCTCCTCCATCCGGAGAACGACTTCTCGGAAACTTAACAGTGCGCCTCGTCGCCTGAGGATATCAAAGTACTTAAGAGCTGCCCCCTCTAATGTAAGACTTAAGGCAAACAGAGAGTCGGGGTCGCTCCACTGATGATATTCGGCGATAGTGGAGAACTTGAAATAGAACGGACCCCATTCAACATCCCCGTTATATCTAACCCCTTTGACCTCGGCCGGAATATTCTTGCTGACACAGCTACGGGTACCAGCGGGAAGTAAACTTGGCAATTGACTCTGGTTCGCGGTGGTCATTAGCGAATGACCCTGTACTGCATTATGCAAACCCCCATGACTAGGCACGATCGACAGACTACCCCGTAATGTAGCTGACTGCCCAACCAACCCTCCATAGTGGCCACCGCCCTAACCACTCGAGTTAGCAACACGAGGATGCGCGGACGCTAAGGGCATGGTCGCGGAAGTACCCACTCGGGTGCACCATGCAACCTGACCCGGGACCGGTGGGCCTGTGCTGGGAAGCACTGGTTAATCCCCCCCCCACCCTGACGCGAATGAACCCAAAGTAATAGTACTCGGAAGTCCCGAGGCTAAACTGTCACTGCCAAACGACGATAAGGAATGACCTTGAGACATGTTTACACTGTCTCCCCCCACAGAAATAGCTATGTGCGGACACTACTGAGGTCACTGCAGGCATCTGATGTCCGGGTAGTGCGCTAGGGACCCAAGGACTCCCCTGGCTACTAGTTACTACTGACTGACTGACTTTAATATCCTGCATGGGCGGGGGTGACTGAGGCTGACTAGCCTTCATTATTCCATCCAACATTTGCGTAATATTGCTTAATTGGCCCCCCATGTTTGTCTCCATAGACCTAACCTGTTTTAACATACTTGTCTCAAAGGCACCTATATCCCCCCTCAGGGCTCCCATATCTTGCCCTAGGGTATCCACCCTTCTATTTACTGTACCCAGGTCACCCTGAACTTGGGAAATGTTACCCTGAATCTGACCCATTTCCCCACGGATTCGGTCAACCGCTCCTTCCAGTATATGCTGTCGTTCCTGGAGGAGGGAATAGAATGCGGACCATCCGAGTGTATCACCTGGACCCTCTGAAATAGCTCCCTGGGTGAGTGATATGTCCCCCTCCCCATACTGAGTGATATTATCCGGGGCACTCTCCCATGGGGCATCGGTGTACTAGCAACACCCGGGGCAAACTTGACACTCTTGGCAGCCGCAGGCGGGACTTTCCCTGGACTGCACTCTAATGAGACCCCGTACCTATCAGACCAATCCGGGGAGGAAATCTCCTTGCCCTCCGCGAGCGAACCAACCCCCCTCGGGTCTCAAAGTCCCCCTACCCAGACCAAACGAGCTAATCTCTCGGTCCATTATTTACCTCAAACCACAAGATAAATTTATTAAATGCACATAAAAATATCTCGCGGCTAATCCGCTAAGAACATATAACAATGTACACAATACAAAAGAAACTTTAACCTTATAAAAATACTTTACATAATAAAATCTACCAAAAAATCCAAGATGGCGACGGCACTAGCCAAAACGTGCTAGGCCGGCACCCCGCTGCCCAGACAAAAAACCCTGGGTCGCAGCGTCAATATAGCGTTTCTCTCCTACATGACTGTGAAGGCGGATACAGAGAAACAACTATGGTAAATATTCCGCACTTTACTTAGCTAGTTGTCGCCAATAATACAACAATATCACAATGACTTACAGACAATAGATAAACACGTCTTGTCAGGACTGCATTCAACACAAGAGAGAGAGAGAGTTACGTCACAGTCCGCATCATTGCAGGACACGTGATCGGAGACTACAGGGGAATTCGTCCCCGGCTCCTCCAGGACCACTACACCCTGGTTCCTACGACCTTACGGCATCATGTAGATCTAAATATTTATATGAAACGTTACCTGCCACTTCACAAAACGCAGTATTATGAGTATATTGTTCAGATTGTTGTTAAGATACTATTACCAATATGGGGACGAGGTAGGTACCGTGAAAATGGACAATTTTTATTCGCTGACCACGTTGTCCATGTGCGCCGCCATTACCGGAAGTATGATGTCTATCTTTGTAAAAATAGGGGGCTAAGCCGCCGGCAATTGCAGCAATCGCTCTAACGATGTCATTTTACATACAAAATTAAATTTAGGAATCGCAGTTGGAAACGTTGGATAACAACGTAAATTTTGCCATGTTTACGACTGTCATTGAGGGGCCTTCTCAGTAAGAATGAATTATTATTTTGAGAACAGATCCTGAGCATATAGAAAGCAAAAGATGTAAAAACTATAATGAACACTAGATTTTTACGAGACGTGGGACCACTGGGTCAAGGGCTGTTTTGCTGAGCAAGTCTTTATTGATCTTGTAATGAAATTAGTACTCTACATTGTAAAGTTATCCCCTTATTCGTTTTAAAATCTTCACTTATAATACTTAGTCAATGTAAATACTGTAAATGTTAAATGAATTTGAATTAAAGAATTATTTAACATTTTTTAATGTACAGTACAAAAATATAGCTTTTCGATGGTCATGTGTACTTGTTGTTAATAAAGCTGATACTGACAAACGGAGAGGGTATTAGTACTGACAAGTACAGGCAAGTAAATAAACCTTATATATGTGTATATTTGTAGAATTATAGTATATACACTGTACATACTTTTTTATCATCACAATATACAAACAATGGTGAAAAAATTTGATCACACAATTAAAAAACAAAAATTCAAGGCGTCGTTCTTGTCAGACGAATATCTAGAAGGTGTAATAACTAAGAAGGTTTGAAAGATGTGTGGAGACTGTTCAATCTGACGCATGTTTGTTCTGGCTACTGTTAATATTTAGGAGGAGGGGGAGGATACTGACCGGGATATTGACCTGACGAGGTGTATTGACCAGACGAAGTGTAGGCAGACGTTTGTGGATTACCTGGACTATCACAACTCCTTGATGAGCCTTTTCTACAAAAAAAATCAAAAGACGCATTACATAGTAAAGGTATGAATTTATGGAAGGGCTAAGCATTATAATACAGAGATTCGGAACACCAAGCAAGAGCTCCTAATTGAAAACTAACCAAAGTCAGTGTTACTTCAATTAGGCCAAAAGAAAGAAATTGGCTGTTGTGATACTAGTAATTAAATCTTTGAATCAGCTGCTGTTGTGAACATTAAATTATAAAATTGCCTGACAAAAAATCTCACTTTAAATAACTTTAGTTTTCATCAGTTCTTTTTAAGTTACAAACTTATATGGATATAATGGATATCATTTTAAATCTACTCACTCTTCTTGATGATAATAACGATGACCACTACGATGATAACTACCACTATGATACACGGTATAACAATGGCGCTAAATAAAATAAAAGTTTTTCAAAGTTACAGAAGATGCCTCCATGAATTTGAAAGCACAAAAACATTCATAAAAAACAAGATTAGAAAGAAATGATGCAAAAAATATGTATAATTCTAATTTTCTCCTTACGCGATACTGATGCAAACTGTTCCACCACAAATGAAGCCGACCGAACAACATGTGGAATCTATCTTGCTGCAGCAGTGGTACCCAGACGGACAATACAACTGGACACCTAAAACTTGGCCGCGCATATTTTGCATATTGCATATCACTAATAAGCATGGGCATTTTCGTACAAATTACAGTAAAATTATGACACGAATTGACAGACCTGGAAGAGAAGTACTCATCTGCAGAATGCGTATTGTTGGCATATAACTAATTTACTCGTATAGTAATTAAAATTTATTTCAGAAATTTTTAAAACAAAATTGAGCATTTTGATAAATGTGAGTCGCTATTCGATCATATTCATTACGTTTCATTAATACCTTTGCAACTTTATGTTTTATGATAGCATATCTTTGTTTCTTTCTTTATTTTTGTCAAAATCGACAAGACATAAATGATATTGGTTACAAGAATGTTAAAAGTTCCCAAAAAGATGCAATTTGAACTTAAAGGAGATATTATTAGGGGAAAATCCCACAGGATGTTATATGTTATACGTCCCGCTGTAGAATTTTTCAATTATATAGAGACGCCCTATACCGCTGAAGGGATTCAAATGTAGACATATGCTGACACCCAGGACCATTGCGATAGGAAGTGTTTGATCGTGGCAACGCTTACAATGGACAGGAAACAAGGGGTTTTTAAGGCCTCTTCAAAGAATCCTGTTTGTTCATTTATATTCTACCCCTTCCCCATGCAAGGTGCCTGACCTTCACGTTTTGTCTTAAATGCAATGATGAACTTTACAGAAAATACCAGGTCTTTTAATAATTGATTTCATTGAAAGATATCTGTTGTTTGTAATTTAATACGGAACTCCATTGTTGTTTGATTGTGTTTGAATACGCAATTGCTTACGTGTATTATAAACAATTGCGGTGTTATTTATTTAAACTGCTGGTTGCATGGAACATTGTTAACTGAGTAATTATACAAGTTTAACTTTAAAATCTATATAATGTTTTGTTTTTTAGATTGACTACTTTGATAGCTTTCAACGTTTAAAGAATTTTGGTCCCTCGTTTTTGTGTCTTAATAGTTGGAATGCATTTATTTTTGGCATACTGTAACTGTTTTGTTATCCCCTCTTAACGGAGTTAAAGGGAAATTAGATTCGCAATCATGTTTTGTATGTTTGTTCGTATATCATGTCCTGTGCGAAACGAAATGACGTAACGTGCATCGGGATGGAGGTCGAATGCTTTATAGATATGCTATTTGCAAGGTGATGCACCGATTTTTTTGTATTATTTTGTCTGTCCATTCAAATGAGATATATAATTTATTGAATTGATAAAAGTTATGAGAAAGATAAAGACTTTTCAAAACATATTAAACTTCAAGATAAATGTGATTGATTAATATGTTATAATACAATGCAAAAATGCTGTCACAATAATACATAGATGACAAAAATAATGAAAGCACCGCCTCTTTGGCAGTAACATTTGTCGCCAACATTAAGAGTCAAACGTCTTGGTCGAAATTATGTGATCAAAAATGATACAGCTTTTTACAAAGTGTTCCCATTGTAGTGTATGTGTAAAATATAAAATCACTCTCCTCTTTCCCTGAAAAGTTAGCATCATTTTTTTAAATTTAGGACAAATTTAAAGGTCACAGCAGTCGGGTCATGCCATTGACAAATATCACAACACATTCTGCACTTCTTATGTCATAGGTACAGTAAAACACAAATATGAGCTCATTATTATTCCCCCCTTATTCCTAAGTATCACCAATGTTAAATTTTTTGGGAAAAAAAGTATCTTAAATTTTAAGGGCATGGTCTCATAAATTAATGTTTATTTTGAAACCCCTTTCATATCTAACATACATATGAAATACTAAGGTCCGGTCTTTTTTTTCGTTAAAAGGTTTGACCAAGACTGAAGTTTTTGTGACGCAAAAACTGAGAAAACGACTGAGATTTATTGTTCAATTAGTTTTGCAAAACAGGGGACACAAAAGAAAATTGAAAGGAAGACCATAAACTCAGAAGAGACTTGAGTCAGGTATATTTTTAAAATAATTTTCATAGCAAAGCAAAATTTATAGCATATGTTTAAATTGAAATACATTTGTACTATACAAATCTGCAATTTTTTTAAACGTATATATTATAAATGACTAGCTCTTCAAAATCAATATTTTGACTTAAGTCTGTTCTCAGTTTATGGTGTCCAGGCCTGGTGCCTAGGAAGAGTAAACATTCCCTGTTGTCAATCACACCCGCCGTCAGACCCACCAGTTTATCACATCTGACATAATAACATACACTTAGTTTTGTACACGTTTTTTCCCGTATAATGAAGATGAATTTTCTTGCATTATGTCATTATTCATTTTGGATAAATAGCAGGAATTCCAAGTTTGTACTTATATGTCTTAGTGTTGTTTTATTTTGAGAACAAGATCATGTACATATTTTGACTTCAAGGATAAATAAAATTTGTATATTTTAGATGAGTTGTTCGTCCTTGAGTTAACCAAACAAAAACATACTCTTATTTATTGATGGCTATAATTTAATTTGTATTCTATTTATCTAAAAAAAAAGTAATTGTAATAATGTCTAAACAGTTATATATTTCTTAAGTTGTTTGAGTCATCTCAATTACATTGTTGTATAAAAATTTAAGTATAATTGAATGATATACATGGTAAAAAATTATACATTAGAATGTCACAAAATATTCACTTAAGATAAATATATCTTGTACAGAAAAAAATTCCACTCACCACTGAAGTCAATAAAACATGTTAAAATAATCAACAAGAATGTCAGAAGAAATATTTCTGTAAATTTCATTTTGTTGTCGCTGAAATCCCTCTAAAGACTCCTCCGTGTATTTTAATTGAGGCTATCTGGTATAATGTGTAATTAAGGATCTCAGTTAGGATTTTTGTCTCATTAAAGATAAGGTAGATGATAACTGTACCTTTAAATTGCATTGATCTATTGTGTTTTTTTCTGTAGATAAAAAAAAACCTACGTAAGGGCAGCTATTTTTTCCGAATGGTAAATTTCAAGTGAGGTTGGGGCTTAATAAGGCATTCCTCGAGGTCTCCAAGGCTACCTCTGTTAATCCCAATGCACAGGAGCTGACTCAATGCAAGTGAACACTTATGCAGTATATGAACTAAACTTTTTTACACTATTCAATAATTATTTTTTCAAATTTCATTGCATATCTCCCTTGCTCTTTTAAAGCTTTTTCCGATAATTTTTTATTACTGGTATCTTGACGAATTTAAATGTGTGTATTTTAACCATAAAATTTACTATATATATTTTAAAAACAGAAAGCAGATATGACCGGGAATCACTTATGTACGTGACATATAGGTCCACCGGATCGTGTGTTTGTATATTATATTAATGTAGGTGACATATAGGTCCACCGGACTGTGTGTTTGTATATTATAATATCATAACAACATGGATTGTTATTTCGCTTATTACTAGTCCCTATGAAAAAAAAACAAACCACTTCATTTTGAAGAAGGTAACATACGGTTGCGTTAGTATTTTATAAAATCACCTTTTTCGGATATTTACGATTATGTACTTTTTTTCATATATTCACCTGCGCATACATATTCTAGTATCATACATGTAACTCAATCATGTAATGTGAGTTTTTGATAATATAAATACTCTTATTATGTTAATGATATATATGTACATGTATATATATGTCGAATCTGTGCTTAAAGAAGGAAATGATGTTTTAACCGACAACAAATTTTAATGTTAAAGTGAAATATATGGAGATAACGAACAGTATACAAGCTCAAAGGTCCATTAAACAACACAAAATTGTAGTAGAGCAAAGATCGACCTCCAAAAATATCAGGGGGGAGTCAGGTACCATGGAGGAGTGAACATCCCTTGCCGACCGGTCACTCCTACCGTGTTCCCCTTGTCATGACTGGGAAATAGCAGAAAATCCGTTGACAGTTCAGTGTGTATATAATTGCCTAACAATAAGCATGAAAAACGTCAGTCAGCATTTTATTCAATGATAAATTGTATTTGCTGACAAGGTCAAGTTATCCACCATAAAAATTACGAAATGATTACTTTAAACGAGACTGCTGATATTCTTGTTTTAGCAGCTTGTTTGCTAATAATTCACATCGTTTTAAAAAAAAAATCATACGTCGAGCAAGCTTTTCTGAGAGATATATACCCAGTATGCAGGCGATGAAGGTATAATGCTGCATAAGTAAGGGTAGCTAACGATTAAAAAGTTAAAGTCATCTCGTTTGTCATAAAGCTTGGTTGTTAGATTACCATGCAATAACGTCTTTTTTCTTGTAATATATCTAAATGTGAAGCAGATGTGTCGGACACTTTTATTTCAAGCTCACTTGGATATATCGTATCGACATAAGAATGGAAATATAAACCATTGTTAATTGACGTTATATCTAAATGTCGAGTTGAAGGCCACAGCAAATGTTTTCTTCTTTTCACGTACCGGTATAATTTTTTTTGGACAAATTCTGCTTCATATGAATACAGAAATAGGTCTAACAATAACGGGGCGCAATTGGTACCATGGTAATTCAATTACAGTGTAGATTGTTGGAAAATCTTGTCAATCAGAATCTAAAGGATCTATTTAATATCAACTTTAGAGTTCTTGTAGGTACAATCAGAATGCTTTTTAATAAATAATTTTGCAATTGACCAATAAGAAAATAAGAAAATTTACAAGTTCCATTTTTATTGATAAGCAGATGTCAATGATATAAAAAAAAAAGCCTGAACTTTAATTTATCGTGGGGAACGGTTGTATATAAGTTTGAAAAATTGTAAGTTTTGATGCTGACTTTGTGATTTCAAATTTTCCAAAAGATCCTTGGAATTTTTAAGTATCCACATGTAATTTACACCGCTTCTCGAATATATTGTCGCACAGTACTCCAACATGTTCTCCTTCGTAACTGTTAATATGTTTAGTAAGGAGTCCCTTAGTTGTCTACACTGCAACAAAATGGAGGGGGCGGGGCAATTGGCCTTCAATGAACACTTTCAATAGTACAAGTGATATGCTTGAAAAAAGTG